GGGGGGGGGGATTTGGGTGGTGAGAGGTTAGAAGGATACTGGATCAATATAGACGGATGTGTGTGTGTGTGTGTGTGTGTGTGTAAGTAAGAGAGAGAGAGAGAAGATATGTTGGTTGAATACTTTGTGTGGATCTGGCGTAGATCGTGTCATCTAAGTGATCCGCTATTTGTATCTAGAATGGATATCGGACTCTTCATGATGAGTGAAATCATTGCAGCGGTGAGTACATCTCAGGTTTACAAGAGAATCGAGAATAATCCTTCAGCAGCACGATGGTAATTGCAGAGGTGAAGTTATCCCACATCGTCACATGACACCCCCTCAGTGCTTATGCGAAACATCACCACTTCAATGCAACCACAACATGCAACATCTCCCTCCAAATGATATGATGATATGATATATGCACTGATCGCCTCTTGCGCTGCAACAAGAACACCCCCACCTCCATATCAGCATCCCCGGGCTTGTGATAGAGGTAAGACCTGCACATCATCCGCCCGGAGCAGAATACATCAGCCCATGCCACTTTGTACCCCGCTCGATCATGCCGGAAATCCGCACGAACAAGTCCGACCGACTTGCAGAATCAACCATCCAGCAAGCAGGTAGATAGCTTTCCTTCCTTCCAGACGGGGCAGAAACAACGGCAAAACTTGATTTCCAAGCGACCTAGTTTTAGTTCGATTGTTGGCTTCGCCCCAGCCACTTAATACCTGGTATTATTCCTCACGGATTGGGATTATTGCTCATCGCGGTGACTCAGTTCAAGGCGCAGCGGGTGACCAGTGACGATGCTCGAATCATCTATTCTTCAAGGCCCCGGATTAAGTCGCCCGGGTGATCGCTCCCCGGTGTTCTCGTGTGCGAGACTCGCACGTGCGGACCTTATGACCCATGCTACGGGCGGAGCTCTTATAATGGAACGGTTATCGGTGTTCGAGGGGTTGTTGAGAGGTGTTCATTTTACCCCATCATGATTAGTGCTTGCCTTGTTGGTGAGCCTTGGGATTTTTTGTCCAGGAGGGTTTGAATTACTGGTCTGGGTGATTTGTCGTTACCTGGCTAGTTGTTTGGCTTTCTGCCTAGGAGGTAAGTACCATTCTCCTTTATAATCGGTCTCATCCGTGGTGGTCGACCCTGATAAAGTTCTTCTACTGTTAGAGCTATTTTCTGTTGATATGCCACACTTGGTTCACCACCGACGACGCCACTCTTGGCCGTACTGCGGTCCTGGGACGCAGCTGCGTGAACGACGAAACCTGCCGTTGGTTATCCCCGAACAACAGTTCTTGACACCGGTGGGATCGGGGGATCTACTTGAGGATGATGCCGCCTCGGCGGGCATCGTTCGGTCCAAGACTGCACGGCCCCATCGGCGATGGTTTGCCCCATGGGATTCAACCACGCCCGGGGCAGCGAACCCGGGGTCTCTCCGGAAAATGATCCGTCCGCCGTTGGATAAGGCGCGATCACTCTTTGTGTTGCCTACCACGACCACTGCCGGGGAGAGTGTGCTGATTTCATACTGGGTCCCGCAGGGAGTTCCTGTTACGCCGGTTCCCGCGCCGATGTCTGGAAGGGGACGGGCTTCTGGTTCCGAGACCGGGGCTGGATACCTGTCCGTTGAACGATATCATCGACGATGCCATTCGGAACAGCCTCGGTCTTGGAAAAGACCGAGCGCGAGTTTGTGGCCACTTGAGGAGGAATAGTCTATGGATGGTTTCAGTTAGTTTGTGTTGTTTTCCCGGTTATCTCCGCACAACTTGTTCTTCCAGGTTGGGGTTTATGCATCGCGAGGTTTGCTTACGGCGTTGACGGGACATTTGCATGTGGCGGGCATCTTTGTACGGCGGTTGCAGGTCTGATTTGGCGTTATTAGCATCACAGTATTCTCTATGCCAGAAATAATGAAAAGACGGTCTTATGACCCGGACAAGTCGCAGCATAACTTCCCCTATACTCCGTCTCTCGGTCGGAACAGCGTGCCGACCACCTCTTGGCAACGAGGACATGATGTCATTGGGTGGATGCAAGAGCCTCAAGTGGGCCGCTGGCACGAGTCCCCAACGGGGAAGTCCGCCTGAGACTTTTCCCGTCGACGCGCCCTGGCCTCGCAGCGCCCATCTTAATTCCCTCAGGACACTCCCTCCTCGAGGCATTTTTATAAATCCCGCAGTTAGGAGCGACATTTTCACCATCTCGACCGGGGTTGTGTTTCAGATAGCAACCCGCCCCCCGGTCGTTCTAAATAAAGCAATGCGTGAGTTCGGTTCTCTTCAGAATTGACTGCCGCCTGGACCAGCGACCGGGGTGGAGAGGACTCAGTAGATAGCAGTAAGCCCTATGTCCCGTCCCTAAACCGGATCCGAGCATCATTTCCTATGCTGCCCAGTAATCTCGCTCGGTTGCCAGCTGCAAGGTGGGGGCGGAATGCTCTCTCCGGTCTCGTCCCGGGCGAAGAATTCTGGAAGATGCTGGGAATGTGATCTCTCACTGATTGACTGGTTCCCTGGAGTAACCGCTGATAAGAGCATTCTCTCCGCATACCTATCACCAAGCAACACACCATCATCCCGGCTGTGCTGTGGACGCGCGCGCCCGAAGGACGACAGCGAGACAGACAAGGCAGCCGTGGTTGTAAGCGGCGGGGAGCGGTGAAATGGAGCCTCCTGATGGGTCATGGCCGGGTGACAGGCGGGCTGATTGGCGGGTGGGCGAATCCATAGGGCAGAGGCGTGGAGCCGGGCGAAGATCCTCACCGACTCAGCTCCGGTCCGTGACTCAGGAAGGGGCCGCTAGACCCTATCGATGGAGTCCTTTCACGCTGGCACCCGCTCATTCGTCCGCTCGGCCACCCCCGGCAGGGGTCCCATGCCCCGCGTAGGGCCAGTGCGGCTTTGATAGGCTCCTCGGTGGGCTTCCAGACGGGCTCGGAACGAGCTGGGTTTGGGGGGGGGGAACTCGTTCATAAATATCCTCGTGTCTCCCTCGTGATGTCGTCTGCTTCACCCTCCTCGTCTCTCTAGTCTCTACACAGGATCCCACTTCACCCGGCATGGACGACTACAACCAGACCCCCTCTCAGCCAACCTTCCACTACCACCCACACACCCTCAAACGGGCCCTCTCTCAATCCACCACGTCCTCCACCTCGTCCACAACCACGACTCCGTCTTCCCCAAACACCCACATTGCAAAGACCAACCCTCGCAAAGCAAGCCGTCTGTCTAGTGTGAAGGGCTTTCTCCGCTCGCGTTCCAACTCTCCGGCTCCTTCAGACTGCTCCTCTCCCGTCCTTCCCTGTGACATTCCTCGAAGCATTCCTTCTCACTTTGATCATCGCTCTGAAAGCCCTACCACCATGTCTCACAGAGTCTGCTCTGATGGCGACAGCCACAGCGCAAGCCACAAGCGCGCAACCTCCTCCACATATGCCCGCAGAAGCGGCGACGACTACCGTCGCTACAGCGGGACGGTCAACCATTACGGTCGTCACTCGAATGACTGGTTGTTCGGGGGCTTTAGTCTACGGGATACGGTCCGAGATGGAGTTGATCGGTTGAGACATCACGCCAAGGGTTGAGTCGGGTACTGCACTGTCAAGACATTACCGACTGGAATACATTGGGTATTGTGGTTCTGAAACAGATGGTTGTCTGTCGTGAACCTGACCTTACCCGTGGGCTCGACTGTTGACTTGAGGACGGAACAAGAATGGCATGGCATTGTTGCCGGTCTACCACAGACCTCCATCACTCATCAAGGAGAGGACTCCAACATGTGACCATTCAAAGAGGTGATAGCTGAACCTAACAAAGTTGGTTTGGGGGATGATTCTACAAGTCGACCACCCGCATCACCTTAATGCATCAAGCAAACGCTACACATGCATATGGTGGCTATTTGATCCAACCGGATCCATGCTTTATGACTCGATACGATATATACCCTGCATGTTATTCACTTGGTTTATACTTAGCTTATACCATTTTTTCGTTAATTCTATCACATTGACCACTGATCTCTATACTCTGTAACAATCTTCCGTAAGTAACCTAGTAATTTAACAGACATACTAAGAACTCCACCATATTCCTTGACAGCAGAAAGCAACCCCTTGGGCAGCAATGACATATCTTCCGGGTCCACTATCCCAGATAATTCAACCCCTTTCCTCCCTTTTTTTTCCAATC